AGCGTTGCAGGGGGTTGTTGTGACCAAAAAGAGAATAGAAGATAAAATCCTGCCCTCATCTTCACTGCTACGTGCATTCTGCTACCCTAATCTCAAAAAGTATGTAGTACAATAGGAAAAGTTTCAGAAAAAAGGCAATATGACTGATCAATCATGATCAATCACACAAAATTATTTTCATGTAAAAAAAATAACATCAAGTATACTGGAACTCTTCTGTACAAGAACAAGACAGCTACATAACAACAGGACAAAAGTCTAAAATAATGTATTATTAGAGGGCAGATACAGAGAACAGAACTATTTAATGACTTTTGCATGTCAACAGCTAGAGGACACTGAGCTAAAAGGTGGCAGGTTCAACACAAAGGGAAGCAATTCTGTATGTCATGTTCAGTTAAGCAGCAGAACTCCTTGCCCCAAATAGTGTGGATGCTAAAAGCTTACAAACAGACTAACACAAACACACAGACTAACTAAATAATAAATACAGATGACCTCTGATACAGAAGTCCTTCACTTGTGAATTTGTGAGGGACTGAGAAAACAGAAAAGTGAAGGGAGGGGTGTTTCTCTGAAAATGTATAGCAGGGTCTCCCAGTTACAGCACCATTCATATATTGAAAGTTCTATTTAAGAAATAGGAGAGATGACTGCAAACGAATACAGGTGAAGAGATTTATGCAGACTTCTGTTTTTCAGTTTGATTTGGAAGGGATACAAATTATAACTGTCATGATTCAGAAAAATTTAGCACTAACTTGTCATGTTCTAATTAATTACAGGAAATACAATGTATGTGATTTCAGTTATGCAGGATATTGCTAATTGTATTAGCATGCTGTTTCTCATTCAGGAGAAGAGTAAAGACTGAGCTAAGAGTCAGCTGCTGGGATTGCTATCTTTTGGCTAAAGTTTCTTTATTTTCTTGTAAGGAATTAATTCTTCCTCTATTGCTAAAAGAAACATTTTGTTCAAAATTTTACTATAATCACCTAACTCTTTTCTTTTTTTAATGACAGACTTTTTTCTTTTTGTACTCTTTTAAGTGGATTTCAGACCCAGAATTATCTTAAATTCACATTTCTGGAAAATCAAGGTTTAAAAAATGCCCTTATTTCATGGTAAAACAAACTGGTTGCTGTGAAACATAGATGTTATAATATAAGCTTACAGCAGAAAAAAAAAAGTAATTATTACAGTCAATCACATTCTAGAAAAGCACACTTACATTTTCCAGTCCCTCCAGTGTTTCTTCTTCTTGACTTTGAAGTCTAGTTATAGGAGCTCCATTTTGTACACCCAGAGATTGAAGTCGAACAATCACTGACTGAAGAGAAAAAAACTCTTGACTTAGTACCAATTAAAACTGCTTTTGTAAACTGAAAGGACTCCCAAAATATTTTTAAAATTGTAACTTATTATTTATATAATGGCTACATATACAGCAAGGCCCAATTTCTAGCTTGGAGTCAACCTAGTTACTGAGCTGTGTTTTAACAGTAGATACAGGCACTGCAAAATGTTGAATCACAGCCTTTATATCTCCTCATTATACTGTGAATCCCAAGCCTTCTATAGGAATAGGCTGTGAAGGATTATTTCCCACAAAGCAGTGGAAGTATTCAGATGAGCTTCAATCTGAAAAGGAGGAAATCTCTTTAGGAGATCAGATTAGGCACACTTGGAAGTAATACAGCTTTGGGTAACCTATTTAAAAAGATACTTAAACCAGATGTCTGCCAATGAGAATCAGATTATATTAAATTTAATTGAAGTATTTCCTGAATGTAATCTTGCTTGAATGCAAGTGTTCTTTAAATGAAAATGCAAATTTTGTCATGTTTGGACTAGTTTCATAATATGTCTTTGCCCTACTTATATGTAAAATGGTTGGAATAATTACACAACTTGATTTCCTTTACTATAAATCTTCTGTTGTAATGTTCACCAACAGATCATGAACGAGAAAATTTTATGTTATAACTCTGCAAAATTCGTGGGGTTTTTTCCCCATAGAACTACTCTTGGGAGTAAAGTTAAGCATAAATTGCAATAATATTTACAGAATTATAATTGATTCAATTTGTTTCAAACAACAAAGGGGAAACTGCAGGACCAGCTCACTTCCTACATTGTCAAAGACAATCTCTCACTACATTTTCAACCCCATAGTTTAGGTTCTGATTTGAACCAACTCTTAGTTCTGAGGCAGAGGATAAGATTATTTACCTTCAAATTTTATCACTGTAGTTTTTTTAAGAGGGAGAACTAGTTGCTATGTTATGAGCTAGAAATCTAGATACAAGCACTCAGCAAAATTGTCAAATGGAAAAGAATGAAGTGCTCCTATTACACTGTAAAACAATATCAAAGTTCATAAAAATTCCATCATTATTTTAGACACCAGCACAAAATAAGCCAATTCTGTAAATATATCATACAGAAAATGTTTTAATTTCTCATGTTAATAATTATATTTTATGCCAATACACAAAGTAAAGGGCTAAAAACAGATGGATACAATAGAAAAGAGTTTGCATCCTGCCTGAAAATATTCTCATGTAGCATATATATAAGCCTGGGGGCAGTGCAGTGAACCTTATAATCATTTTTATAGAGCAACAAAAGCACGCATTTCAAAGGTCATGTTTTCTAATAGTAATTACATAAGTTTTATACACAATTTAAAATGTTGCCAACACGTTAATAAAGAAAACAATCCACAGAATTGAGAAATCATTTTCTAGTGGAGGTTAATTAAGTTGGTGCATAGCTTACTACTAAGAGATCATCTGGTTGCTGATTTCCGTCCAGTTCAATAAGATATTGACAATCCTGTTCAGCCATCAAGTCCTGTTTAAGAACAAAGATGCACTCATCAACTGAGTATAGTTAACCAGATAATGACATTGAAGTTCATTCTGATCCTATACATATGAAAGGCTGGACTCCTGTGGAATTCAGCAAAGCCAAAATTCATTGTACTGATGACTTACAAAATCTTCTGGAGAGAAACTTTTATTCGGTGATGGATTAATACAGACAGAATTCCAAAGTTGGAGTTACAATGGGTTCAGAAAACACATTTGATATTCTAGCTCAAATGCAAGAGAGCTACAAAGAATCAAGCTACAGTAATGTTTCGTGTATGAATTCAACTTCTAGTTGTCTAGCTACATTAATTCTCTGCTGGAAAATGGTGACAATGTCAATTAACAGATTTCTTAGAAATACTAGCCATGAGACCAATGTTTTCATTTTGGTCCTGAATCTCAATTTCTGTAAAATTTGAACAATATATTTGATTTTTCTTATTTTCATTTTTCCCTTTAGCAAATAAGATATTAGACTAAAATAGTCATCCCATGTCCGTTGTTAATGCCTCTGTCTGAGGATTGAGAACACTCTGTTCCTGACAGATGCTGGCCTAACACCTGCTCTGAAAAAGCTTATTGAAGGTGACTTTACAACTTTCCAGGTGATCTATTCCACTTCACTACACTTATGGTCAGAGTTCATTCCCTTGTGTCAAAGTCTTCTATACTATACATTAAATTATTTGTCCTATCTTTGGTAGACATATATAAAAACTGATTACTTCCTTCTAGCACTCGTCTGCAGAGAATAGTTTGTGTTTCTTTTATGTAGAATGGTCTTATTAGTGCATCCATAATATTTGCTTTTGTACAATAGCATCACATTTATTGACTCAGTTTATGACTAATTAAAACCCCACAGATTGCAGATTTTCTGCATTACTGAGGTCTAGCCAATTATTTCACGTTGTAGTTGTTCATTAGGTTTCCTCCCTAGCTGTAGTATTTAACACTTATTACTCCTCAATTTCATCCACAATTTATCAATGTCTGTTCTCCAAAGTTCCTTCTACCTATCCCAGTTGAGTGCAACTTGCACATTTTATAAGCTTTTTTTACAATTTTATCATCTCAACCTCTACCTGAGCTAATGATAGACCCCTATGTTTTTTTCATGTATTAGTGGACCACTAAGTATGTTTACTAATACATGCATCATTAGTGAAGCTTAAGGAAGACCTTCACAGCAGTAACCAGTTTGTTACTCTAGCAAAGAACATTATACCAGTTTTACACAATTTTTTCCATAGGTTTATCTAATCTG